ATATGTTTCGTTGTATGTTCTGACACACATGCGTGGTGTTTACGTACCGACGTATGTAAACGCATTCAAATACACAACGGAATGTGGACAGAGCCGGTTCCTCTCCCAACTTATAGTCACGCTTTTGGTTGGGAAGGAGTTAATTTGGTGTCGATTAGGCATGCGGCAGGTATCCTGATCCATCTGTGGGTGTATGTGTACACTCATACGTATGTGATCAGCTGGCAAAGAGCAGAGAGCGAGACACTGGTGAAACCATTACCAACTGCACCTCATTCCACACTGTGGTGTGGTGAGATAGGGCTAGGGTTTAGGGGCAAAGGTTTGGTATAGCGTGTGTATAGTAATGCGTATTTCATGGGCATTGTGCGCCTCTACGCGTGCACACAAATGCACTGACACGCCCCACGGACACAGATAACCGTGAATGATACTTTTGTTCCGGCAGTAGACCCTTTCACACACTTATATACAAATGGAGAGATGTATATACATGCATACATGTGTCAGAGAGAGATGCATGTACACCCACGTTTCTGGGTACTTTAACTAAGGTGTCGAATGTTAGTTGGAAGAGTGAAGCAGGTCGCGCCTAGTGAATGTACGACAGACCGACCGCAGCACTCACTGCGCACAATCAGCTGCGAAGTGCGGTACTCAACTGATGAGGCGCACCTTCAGGTGACAGGTGTCGCCTTGAATTGCTTCAGGTGATAGGCCTCACCTTGAATAATTGGATTGATACCTTATTTCTGCAGAGATTACAAGACGATGCTACGCAATACACGCCCAAATGGTAACAATGCACAATCAAATGCATAACCAAATGCATACAAATGTACCCAAATGCACTTGTATGCACCCAAAATGAATAGCTAAATACATATCCAAAACACACACCTAAATGCATATCCAAATGCATACAAATGCACTCTAATACACTTATATGCACCCAAAATGTATAGCCAAATACATATCCAAATGCACACCCAAATACATATCCAAATGCATAAAAGTGGGCCACAATATACCTACCCCAGTGACAAGCGTTTACTTTTGATGAACCGTAAATCAGACGAAGAATGGCCTCACACGCCTCCGAAGCACATTTCCGCAACAGCTCAAGGTACAGAGATGGATAATAAAAACCCTAAACCCTATAATAAAGGGCAGCACATACTATAAGCCTGAATCTGAGATTCCAATGATAGTAGGAACCCACTTACCGCAATGCCGGCGTTTTAAACCGGGGGAATGCTTGTAGCCTGCAGATGGGGGTAAACATACTTGCACGAGCAAGCAGATGATATACAATTCATATACTCTACTCGTCATTACCTAAATGCGGATATATTGGAATATATCGGATTTGAATATACTGGTACATTGACAACTGAGTGGGTTCGGCGCGTGGTGTTTAGTATACATGTATAGGTATTCACACATGCGTTTGCATGGAGTTCGATAGCTATATCGGAACCTGTCAACATCAAATAAACCAGATATATACAGTGTCATTACCTGCGATATAATCCATTGATACTATGTGCGTATGCATACCCCGGCATACAAGCGCATGTGCAAGTAGAAGTAGAACGATGCATATATGGCGAGCAAACCTACTACGCTGATAGCCATTGGGTATATCCATGCACATACCCGGGCAATATCAGTGGACAGGTTTAAAATTAGTTATACTAGATGTCCCAAGAGACGCCGAACCTAGTGCGTGATTCTAAGCTTCTAGGCAAAAAACCCCTAAACCCTAAAAACCCTAATGCCTCGCAGAATCACTCTTAAAGTTAATATGCTCGCCGAAACATTCGCACTCCGGATAAAAGGTGGTCATAGTCTGTGTGGGTTGAAAAATCACACACAGGTAACCTGGGTATCGATATGCATACACCTCTGTGCGATATATACGCAGACGTTTCCTCTCGACCCTACAGCCACCACCAACTGTCAAGCCACCCTCAGCTGAGACCACATCACACGAAAGAAACAATAGACAACAACAGCTGAGACCACATCACAAGGAAGAAACAATAGAACAACAACAGCTGAGACCACATCACAAGGAAGAAACAATCGACAACAACAGCTGAGACTACATCACAAGGAAGAAACAATAGACAACAACAGCTGAGACCACATCACAAGGAAGAAACAATAGACAACAACAGCTGAGACCACATCACAAGGAAGAAACAATAGACAACAACAGCTGAGACCACATCACAAGGAAGAAACGATAGACAACAACAGCTGAGACCACATCACAAGGAAGAAACAATAGACAACAATAGCTGACACCACATCACAAGGAAGAAACAATAGACAATAACAGCTGAGACCACATCACAAGGACGAAACAATAGACAACAACAGCTGAGACCACATCACAAGGAAGAAACGATAGACAACGAAACGGATACAATCTCGAGGTGCAGAAGCCCAGATCACACGGTGGAGATTGTACTGTGAAGCCCTTCACCGCAACGGGTGTATCCATGGCTGTCTGTTGTACGGAGAAGGTTCTACAGACTCAACAGGTGGTTACATCACACAGCTGTTGTGACTGCGAGTTGTTAGTTGTTTGGCTTGTGCATTGTATTGCTCTACTGTGCAGTCGGCCACAGGAGATGTCGTTGACAGTCTCCGACCAGATTCGGAACACACGCTGGCGTGATATAAGGTAGTCTAAGTCACTGTAATGGATTGTATTTGATGCGGACTGTAATGGATTGTATTTGATATGGACTGTAATGTATTGTATTTGATATGGACTGTAATGGATTGTATTTGGTGTGGACTGTAATGGATTGTATTTGATGTGGACTGTAATGGATTGTATTTGATGTGGACTGTAATGGATTGTATTTGATGTGGACTGTACTGGATTGTATTTGATGTGGACTGTAATGGATTGTATTTGATGTGGACTGTAATGGATTGTATTTGATGTGGACTGTAATGGATTGTATTTGATGTGGACTGTAATGGATTGTATTTGATGTGGACTGTAATGGATTGTATTTGATGTGGACTGTAATGGATTGTATTTGATGTGGACTGTAATGGATTGTATTTGATGTGGACTGTAATGGATTGTATTTGATGTGGACTGTAATGGATTGTATTTGATGTGTTACAAGCTCTAATTGCAAGCTCTAATTTCAAGTAAAACAAGTTCTATAGGACGCCGGAATTGAAGACTGGGGCAGTACTTCCTTATGCGTATTCGGAAGTTATAGGTGAGAGCACTCACACTCTACACGGATATGACAACTGAGGGAGCTCAGACTCAAGACATACGAATAGAGGTACAGCCAATAGTTTAATCTAAAAGCGCATTCCGTAACTCTTGCTGCCGGAACTCATTAAACCCTTTCCGCTCCAGGTACCGCTCTACGCCTCTATGCATATCCTGGATGTATCTGATCACACCCAATATGGCCCTGGGAGGGGCCCCGAAGTAGTCTTCATGCAGTCCGGCTTTGGACTTCTCGACGGCTTGTGTGTCCATACGCTCTTCACTGTGAGGTTGAAATGGACCGGATAACATACATGACATGTCAGAGAAGATGGAACATATTTTTATATACTCACAGAACTGTGATATATATAGACGGGCTTTTACGTATAGTATGGGTGTACTCGAGGAAATATAAAGGTATCCATATATACATCTTTGCGTAATTTGAATATATATGTATATATATATATACATACATACATACGTACATACATACATACATACATACATACATACGTACACGTATATATATATATAATTTTAGTAGCTAGTGGCAACATATGCAGAATCAATATGAATTTACACACTCACTCGAACGACACCTTCAATGTACATCCAGAAATCAACACATCTATGAATATATGGCTCTAAACACACAGCACATGCTCATCCAGTACGTCTGTTGTTAACATTAGCATTGTGCGTTTCATGGGACCAATATAGAATACCAAATATAGAATTTTTGTGTATTAAAATACACTTAGGAAAATAAGGTATATGCTGTGCTATTTAATACAATCACACTCAATAAAAGCTGTCTGACATTATGTATATTAGTATTGTACTGTAGCATATCCCACGAAATATTTCGTGGTTCACAGTGCTCATAGTGAAATAAATACTGCTAATTAATATATAAACACACACACAATAAAAACAATATTCACATATACATATATACATACATACATATATATAT